ATCAATTACCGCGTCAAAAGGTCCGTTCGTCTAATTCTAATATAAATATTTGAGAATTAAAAGCGGCAACGTCGTGGGTCTGGCGAAAACGAATAAACCTCTATTTTTTATATAAATGGGACAAACTAAACGGTCCAGCATCAGGGCCTGAAGGCATCGCTTGAACATTTTTCGTCCGATATACCCCGGGTCTGACGGCCTATCTTCAACGTACCGGGTCTGACTCCGTCGATTTAATAAATATATATATATATATATATATATATATATATATATATATATATATATATATATATATATATATATATATATATATATATATATATATATATATATATATATATATATAACAAACCAAATCTGTATTTTTTTTTTATTTTTTTTAAAAAATTTTTTTTTATTTGAAAAAATAAAAGTTATAGGGGTGAGCCACTTTTGAGACGCACCCGGTATATCTAATTATTCATCTGAGAAAATGCAATTATAGCAGTAAAAATTGCTGAAAAGAGGTGAAAACTCAGAAAAGGTGTGAACCAAAATACCCTGTATTATAAAGTGCAGAAACCGTAAAGGAATATCGACAGGAATTTTTTAATTTAAAGAAATCGCTTTAACGAAGATTGCCTTCCCAAGTAGATATATCAATCAAGAGTCAAGTCTCTAAAACAATGAGCCAATAAAAGCAAACTTTTAACCCCATAGACTTAGAATAAAATATAGACTACACTATTTACATTTAAGCGCGGTCCAATATTAATTTTTGTAAACATGTTTACTCCTGGGTGCAGCTGACCTCGGCCGTCTGAGTCTTTCGCCTCCAGCCTATGTTGTCACGTCTAAAATATTATTAATATTTTTTTTGTTGTTATACACATATATTGAGATATTAAAACTGTATTTTAATAAAGTAGTGTTTAATAGTAGAAAGATGTATTAAATAGTCCCTATACTACTAAATTATAAGTCGGAGACTATTTAAAATGACAAATTCTTTTACAATTTGGCAACACCCATCAATCGCCGGGTCGCCTGTTCATTCTTTATTCTCTCGTAGTAGAGCCATAGTAGAGTAAAGCACGTGTCGTAAAACCTTGTTGTCACAGTTCTCCATGGCTATTTTATTGTTTTATTGGATGTTTTGATTTTGTATTTTTTGGATTCGATTTTCTTAGTGTGTAGTGTCGGTTTAGTGTTTATTTTGATTACTTTTTATTTAAAAACTATAAAACATGGTTCGTCAGTGCCAAATTTGTAAGAAATTGGACTATTTAAGTCCTGGAACAACATTCCACAGGTAAGTCAAATTTACTATTTTGGCGTCAGTGGCGTTGTAGAAAGGCGCTTATTTAGATAATAATTTAGTAAATTATAAACCCTGGAAAATCTGTATTTTTTATATTTATCATTTACGTAAAGGTTCTTACTAACCTCGTTATTAATATAACGAGTAGATACATTATTAAGTACATAAGAAGTAGACACATTATTTTCTTGGGCATTGGTTAATTTAATGCTTTTTTTTATGAAAAATGTGTTTCTTTTTATTCTAAAACCATCCTTAGAATCTAAAATAACATACAGGAATTCCAGAATGATATTCCATTATGAAACAACAATTTTTAAGGCTTATTATAAACTATAAACAATCGAGAAAGTCGAAAAAATTACAAGCTACCAAACATTTTAAAATACCAAACATTCCTTATTTTTTTTCAAGACTAAAATATTTTACAAACATTACTTTTTCCCTATAGTTTCACATCAGGTATAGAAATAACTACGTTTTTATGATAGGGTCACCATTATGATAACAAAAATGACGAACAATGGTCCAGAAATGTAAACAAGTACATATTTTTTGTAAATATTTTTCTTACCGCTTGCATTTTTGTCCATTATTATTTCACAAATTATACAGGGTTATGTAAACCAGGTAGATATTTCGTTTTTTTTATATTAAACAAAGATAAAATAAATATGCCATTTTAAAATTTATCCAGTACTTACCTAGAGTTTTTTCTTTTTTTTTCTCGACTGTTAATCTATTATTAATTTGTAATACCGTATGATCGAAAAAAACGGCGTCCAGTTGGCTTGGAAAAAACCATCGATACATACTCCATATAATTTTACATATAAAATGACAGCGATCTTCATTTCATAGCCATCGCTGACGCCGTTTTTTTTCGATTATAAGGTATAATTTTCATTTTTTCTTTTATAATGTAATATCACTTAAGTAATATCACATATAATCTGAAGATAGTTTTAGAATTAACCAAAACGTAAATCTTTAATAAAACAATCTGTTATTATTTGCCATATATGTATGTATCCAAGAAAATAATTTACATATTATTATTATATGTTTTACTGTTTTTTATCTTTATTTGAAACTCAGAAATGTTGCATTGGCTTTCTAAAAAAATGAACTTGTAAGTTTTTAAAATGCTTCGTTTCGGAGATACAGGGTGTAGAAGTTTCATTTTTATTTCGATTTTTTTCCAAATAATTTCTGAAGTGACGTCAATATTTGGACGAAAATTGGCGTTTGGGAGTTTTTTGACATGAAAAATTAGATTTAGATGTCAATTTGACTTTTACTAATAGGGGGCGCCACCTACATATTTTTTAAGTTATTTGAAGAGTAATACTTTTTGTCTGTATCTATATAAAACTACTGAGAAAAATTTACATTTCCAACGTTTTTTACTTAATAAGGTCTCTTGTTGACACTCGCCACAAGTATAGTTCTCAAGATATTTGGAAACGAATTAATCAATACATTCTTCATAAATTATTTGGAAAAAAGCGAAATAAAAATGAAATTTCTACACTCTGTATCTCTGAAACGAAGCATTTTAGGACATAAATTTATACTATTTTTTTTACTGATTTTATTTGCAGATTATGCTGCCAAAGTTTCCTGAATACAATTCCGACCACTCTGTATATCAAGATATCCCCCATTACGTACTAGTTTTTCTTAATAATTTTCTATACATTTTCCAACGCCAAGATGTACCAAGCGCATACAAATACATCAAGCTTCAAACAAGCTTGCACGTTGACAGTAATACCTACAGTAATATTGTATTATATTAATGTAATATTTTTGAACCAATGTTCAATATTACTGTAGTAATACTGTTTATACTCATGCCTTTTATATTTGTTTGAATTTGGTGCATATTTCCATTGAATAAAGTATAGTCACCATTACCATTATTATACTTACTCTATAATAAAGACAGTAACGAGTTAAATAAATGTAGTTTTCATTTTATTCACTTCCTAAAAGCTTGCTTTAATGGAACAGATTCCTGTTTTTTCTAATTTACATAATAAGACATCACTTTTACCGGAAAAAAAAATTAAACAATTATAAAGTTTTTTCTCTTTCTGTTCTATTATATCTATAGAATAGATCCTGTTTTGATTAATATTAGAGTTGTAAATGTTTGACTAAAATTAATATTTTATTAAATTAATAATTTATCATCAATTTCAAAAATTAAATAATTTCGATTATTAAAATTTCTTCTATAACACGTACTTTATTATTTTTATCGTTTTTAGACTCTAAGACGTATTTTTTCTAAGTCCTAAACTTTGCTTTATATTAAACTATTTCTTTATCCTAAATCTTAATAATATAAAAAAGTTTAAATACGATATATTTTTAATTGAATTATAGCTTCATTAAAATTAAAAAAATACCCGCCTATGATACGGAGAGTGCAGGTGCACTGAAGAAACAAAAGACAGTGTTGCGTTGGGCGGCAGAGCCGTCAGGAAACGACCGTTACGACGGAGACAGCCTATCTATCGCTCGTGTCGCACTCGTTAGAGCCAAAAACAATAACACAACAATAACAAGACGTTGTCTGTCCGCATCTTCCAGCTATTTATGAATGAGATGCTCAGTCTATATTTTATTCTAAGTCTATGTTTAACCCCATATACCGACATAAAAAAGGTACACTAATTTCGAGGGAAGTGATTTTACAAATATAGATTTTGTTAGTAAATGCGTACCTTTCGTGATCGAGTGTTTAAGAAAATGGGAAAATATTGGTTTTCCATGTTCTGTATTGTGTACAGATAAGGAAGGAATTGCACTCTAAGAATATAATAAACAATAACTTAATAGTGTAATATCCTATTCAATCAGAGGTAAGCTTTTTCTATGTATTGTGTGGGATAACAGTGCTACTGGTGAACACCATTAGTTGTTCCTTGGTGCCCCAAGGTTGAGACCACTAGAGACTAGTCTTCTGTCTAGTCCTGCATCCCTTTGATCTGGTCCTACAGTCCTACCATGATGCTCCTCTTGATCCAGAATTTCTTTAAAAATTTCAAAATACTGACTCTTCCTTCTTTATTTATTTTTGAATCCGTTTGCTTAATCCGCAAGCACATATCTGCTATTCCCCAAAGGCCATCTCACAACTATCCACTTAGGAATGCGGAGCACGATCTTTATCTGCCAACCCCGAGCTCAGAACTAGTTAAAGGCTCAATACTGTACAATGCCAAAAAATGTACTGCCTTTAAATATCAAGTCGCTTTCATTCTTTCCCGCATTTCGCAAACCTCTGAAATCATACTTACTGGAGAGAGCCCTATATGCGTTAAACGACTTTTTTGTTGATGTTTAATCATGAACAATTTTGAATTTTAAAATCTTGATCATCTCACACACTGGTTAAAAGTATAGTTTTTAATATTTTATTAAATGATTTCTAAACTCTTAAATGATTATATCCATTTACAATTTTCCTATTGTAAAATTTTTATTGATTTACGCCTTTATTTGTGTTCTGCAATGTCCATGTATGACATTTTTTTTTGAATTGTATGATTTTTTTTATTTGTGTATTTTTTGTGCTTTTGTTTGTTTTGTAAATGCTTTGTCGATGAAGCTATTTTGGCTTTTTGTACGATAAAGCGTTATTTATTATTATTATTGGCTAATTCAAGCTTTTACTTTGTTTTAGGAATGCCCAATCACAAAAAGATCCTACACTTATGGCCAAGTACGCAAGAGGAGTAAGAACATCAGTAAAATGTTACGAAAAAAACTTGGCTTGGACAGGAGAGACACCGTTCTAGTCTTGCTCCAGAATATTCCAGAATTTCCTATAGCCGTTATGGGCTGTCTTGAAGCGGACTTGATTGTGTCGACAGCAAACTGTATGTACACACCAGGTAAATTAATATAGTCACCCTATATAAAGAGATATATTACATCATGTTAAATTTTTAGTGTTAATAAAAGTTCTTAGAAAACCTATTAACATGAGTATGAATGTAAATCACTAGTATAGCGTGAGCCAAAAAAACTAACTAAAATAAACCTAATAACCGAGAAAAAAATATCCCCGGAAGGCAGGATTTTTACCTCAATTTTAAAAGGCGTTGGTGAACATTCAAAATTTTCCATTTAAGTAACACGTAAAAAAATATTTTTCCATTAAATGTACCATAGCTTTGAAAAGGTATACGATAAAAAATTTTACATCGCGGATTGTTGTAACACTAAAACTGCATATTTTGATTTTTTCACTTTTCAAAGCTTTCAAATATACGAATTATTGAATTGAAAAACATTACTCTCAGATATATTTTTTAGGAAATTTTATGCTCTACAGAATCGGTGATGTAAATTTTTATCGTAAACCGTTTCAAAGTTACGGAACTTTTAATGGAAAAAGATTTTTTACGTGTTATTTAAATGGAAAACTTTGAATTTTCACCGACACCATTTAAAATTGAGCTAAAAATCCTGCCTTCCGGCAAAGCTTCCGGGGATATTTTTTTGTCGGTTTATTAGGTTCATTTTAACCCATAAAGTCCATCGGTTAGTTTTTTTGGCTCACCCTAAGTATACACTCTTCAGAAAATTGAGTAAACATACAGTATGTCCCCGGATTGTCTTTACAAGAGGAAAAACTTTTTTATTAATAAAATTTTGAGAAAAATGCATTTTTTATTAAAATTTTTGCTTGCTCTAAAATGGTTAATCCCGTTTATACTTGTCCAAATCTTCATACCGTTTTAGAGAAAATTAAAAAAAGAACATGAAAATATTTTGGTTGACTTCTTGAAAAGAAATCAGTACGTGTATATTATTTCGTATATTTTTCATTCTATTGTTTTTATGGAAAGCACTGTTCATTAAAATGTTGTATCCTATGTTATAAGGTTTGTTTCTCTCTACAATTTCCTGTCTCACAATGTACCGTTTGTGTCGGGGAAGGGATCATAGTTTCATAGTTGTCGATTTTCAAAAGAAATCAGTACATGTATATTATTTCGTATATTTTTCATTTTATTGATTTTATGGACAGCACTGTTCATTAAAATGTTGTATCCTATGTTATAGGGCTTGTTTCTCTCTACAGTTTCCTGTCTCACAAAGTACAGTTTGTGTCGGGGAAGGGACCATAGTTTCATAGTTGTCGATTTTCGAAAGAAATCAGTACATGTATATTATTTCGTATATTTATCATTATATTGATTTTATGTATGAAGTCCTTAAAATCAAAAAGCGTTTCTATGGTAATATATTCTCGATTTTATTCTTTGATAGATTGTTATAATCAATTTTCGTTAACGTCATATTGTTTGCTGTTGCCAGAGCTGTTGCTAGTCTTGCTAAGTCTCACAAAGTTTCATATTTTTTGCTGTTGTTAAAGTATCATATTTTCCTATAACTATTATCACCCTTTCCGTATCATTGAACTATATGGTTCCCAACCGTCCCGGTTTGACCGGGATTAACCAGGAATCAGAAAGTTTGTCCCGGCGAAAATTTTGCCTTGGCCGGGACGAAAAAAATCATATTTACATATAATATATTTGAATTACTCATATTTAATGTTTTGTTTTAGTTATTTAAAAACTTAAAAATAATTGTCCCGGAATTGCCGATGCTCAAGTTGGGAACCCTATTGAACTAAATAAATTTTCTGATTCTTTAACATTTTAAAACATAAAATATGACTTTTATTAAAATTATGTCAATATTAATCTATTCAAGACCATAGATAAAAGTTCAAGACTGAAATTGAAATGATATTACCATAGAAACGCGTTTTTTTTTTATTTTTCTCTAAAACGGTATGGAAATTTGGAAAAATATAAACGGGATTAACCATTTTAGAACAAGCAAAATTTTTTATTAAGAATGCATTTTTCTCAAAATGTCAATAATAAATAAGTTTTTGGTTTGGTTTGTTTTTTAACAATTAGTTGTTTTTTTGGCTCTTGTAAAGACAATCCACGGATATACTGTAGAGTACTTTCAGTTAAAAAAAATCGCCAATATTTCGTAAACAAAATATACATCTTCCACAAGTAATTCGCTCTGTTACTTAGTTATTCTGTACAGGGTGGGTCAAATTCGACGCTTTTAAAGGGAAACACCCTTTTCTACAGGAGATAGACGAAAACTAATATCGGTGTCTGGAGCTCAATTTTTATCAAAAACATGATGGTGAAAACCGCACATCGATATCTGTTACCGTTTCGGAGTTACGGGGTGTTTTTCAAAAATGTGCATTTTTAAGGAATCGCTGTAACTTTTTTGCTATAAAAAATTTCCTATTTTTATGAAAATATTTCCAAAGCATCTTTTTACGTAGAATTTAATGGTTTAAGTATAATTTTTTAAAAATTAATAATTTAAGAGTTATCAGCAGAAAAATTGATTTTTTATTTGGGACGCCCTGTATATTTTTAATTCGTTGAAAAGAATTTAAAATTACCTTTCCAAAAATATAGCGCACTTGATATTTTGTTATAATCCCCTTCAAAATACGGAATTTTTAAAAGTTCGCCACTTTTAACTATAGTAGGCTAGTAGGCTTTGGACCCCTTATTGAAGATCTGTCCCTAATGGAACCCGAAAACATATTTTTCCAGCAAGACGAGGCGCCTCCTCAGAACGCTGAAGTTGTCAGTTAACTTTTGCAGCCAATTTAGAGAATAATTGATTAGCTAACCAAGATCCCAGACGTCGGCCGTCGAGGCCGCCGGACTTAGTGTCTATGGATTTTTATCTTTGGGAAAGAATAAAGGTTCTTATTTTTAAATTGCCTGTATAATCTAGACAAGAATTAAAAGCACTTAGCAGTTATGCGAGGATATCTTTCACCTTTATTGAGTTAATGAATTCCGCGAGAAATGTTCAAAAACGGTCCCGTCTGTCCATAACAGAAGACGGTTGACATGTCGAACACCTGTCTTGGTCACCTGTCAAAATCTCATGTCTTGGTTTGCTATTAATTTTTATTGTTAATAGATATAGTTTAAATGTGTTGATGTTGTTAAATATAGTTTAAATTGTTATAAAATTCTAAATCTGTCGTTGTAAATATTATTTTCGTTTTAATTGCTGCTCACAGCTACAATTTTCTTGCATTACAGTCGGCGCGGTTCAAAGCCTACTTATTCAAAGTGGGCGAATTTTTATAAACTCTATATCTCCATGAGGAATCGAGCAAAATGTCAAGTGTGCTATATTTTTGGAAAGGTAATTTTAAATTTTTTCAACGAATTAAAAATATACAGGATGTCCCATATAAAAAATCAAATTTTTTGTTGATAATTCTTAAATTATTAATTTTAAAAAAAATTATACTTAAACCATCAAATTCTACGTAAAAAGGTGCTTTGGAAATGTCTGCATAGAAATACAAAATTTTCCATAGCAAAAAAGTTACAGCGATTTTTTAAAAATGCACATTATTGAAAAACACCCCGTAACTCCGAAAGGGTAACAGATATCGATATATGGTTTTCACCATCACGTTTTTGATAAAAATTGAGCTCCAGACACCGATATTAGTTTTCGTCTATCTCCTGTAGAAAAGGGTGTTTCCCTTTAAAAGCGTCGAATTTGACCCACCCTGTACAGAATAACTAAGTAACAGAGTGAATTAGTTATGGAAGATGTATATTTTGTTTACGAAATATTGGCGATTTTTTTTAACTGAAAGTACTCTACAGTATATCCGTGGATTGTCTTTACAAGAGCCAAAAAACCAACTAATTGTTAAAAAACAAACCAAACCAAAAACTTATTTATTATTGACATTTTGAGAAAAATGCATTCTTAATAAAAATTCCTATATTCCTCTCCTATAGAAAAGGGTGTTTCCCTTTAAAAGCGTCCAATTTGACCCACCCTGTAAAATTTAATTAATTATTATACACATGCTTTAAAATTTTCTTGATAAAAACACATTTCATAATAACCAATGACAATAACTGACAAGTATAGTAACGAGTTTTTTTTTTAATAATTATGCTGACGTATGTATATCTCAAATGAGCCCCGAGATATAAAAGGTTATCCTTTTAATATCACTCATTTTTTTCATAAAATAATTTAAATTTGACTTTTCAAGCATGATTTGAATAAATATAACTAATAAAAAATTCCGTCATCTTCAGTAGTCGGTAATATACAGGGTGGTTCAAACGCGCTAAACATTCAATTTCAAATTCATGTTCTCTATTCCATACAAACCATAACACACAATAGACTCCTAATCTTATAATTATTTATCATAAAATAATTACGATAAAATCATGTAGTCAGGGCCTATTTTTCATATGGTCGGGCCCTAAGGCCCAAGCAAAATTTCGGGCCCTCTTTTCCAATAAAATTCAAATATTCTCTTGTTAGTTTGGGTTGAAAAAATAAAACAATTATTTTTATTTTTATTTTTTTAATAATTTTAAAAAATAAATAAACATTATTATATTCAACAAAATAAATAACGAAAAAAAAACAAAAATTATATCAATCTAAAGCTTATTTTATTTAATTCTATTTTCCTTATCAGAGGTAACTGTTTTTTTTTCTCTAAATTTACATAATTTACATTTGAAATTATGAACATTCTACAACCGTCAGCGGGCCACCCAGACCACCGGGTCCAAGGCCCGGGTCTTATGGGCCTTATGGTAAAATAGGCCCTGCATGTAGTAAATAAAAAATAATTTCAGAGGAGATTGCCAGACAACTCAGGGACTCACAGGCAAAACTCATAATAACCTCATACGAATTATACAGTACTGCCCAAAAAGCTTCAGAAAAATTGGGCAGGAAACTACCTATTATATGTATTAAGACTTTGGTAAGTTTCTTTTGTGATAAAATCATCGAATAACAAGTCTAAGGAAGACATCAAATCCTATTTTATGTTCATACATATAGTATAAGCGATACCGATTAAACTTTTAGTTGCGTAATCGAGGGCGCGATTTTTAAAATCATTGTTGCCAACTGCTGACATTTTCGGCGCCGATCTGACTAACTGGAATTTAAATTTACCGCTGGGGATTCAGGTGTTAGATCTGCTGTAAAAAATGTCAAGTTGCCACATTTATTTATTTATTTCCTGACATCGTCATTCATTTTAACACTTTAGTTTTGTATTACAAGTTTTTGATTTAAATGAATTGTGTTGTGATACTTTAAGCTTCAAAATTTTTACTAGCAGACCTTGCAGTCGAATACTGTTCATTTTAAATCCTTTTTTAGTGCGAAATGTATATGATAGCTTAATAGCCAATGCAAAAAACTCATCGTATGAAGTTTTATTAGAATATTTTGTACGGGAAAGCGGTAGTAATGACCCTTTATGTCCCTTAAGGTGGTGAGTTTTGTTGATGTAAATAATAACTAATAATAACTGTTTATATACTTATTTATAATTAATTTATTTTTGTTTCCTAAAATATTTTGATTAAAAGAAAATATGTAAAAGTAGGCAACGCTGTGCCGGTCAAGCTTAATCACGTGACTAAAAGTTTAATAATAATTGGTATGAACCATACATGTATTGAATTAACTGTAAGGTCGTCATACTTGCCATTTTCGAACACCTTCTTGGTTTGAAATTTCTCTTGAAAATTTTGAATATTCCTGTTCATTTCATATTATTACTTTAATTTTGTTTGTAAAAAAATGTCTTATTATACTTCTTCCTTGGTCTTTTTATTCAAATGATTAAATAAAACAAAACTTAGAATTTAACAGACAATATTTACAGCAAGACCAGTCTTTACCAAGAGACACTATAGACTTTGAAGAGATTTCTACTACAGTTCTGGACGTTCCCGATGTGGAACCACCTAATCCTGACGATGTAGCCATTCTGCCTTACTCCAGTGGTACTACCGGTCTAGCCAAGGGTGTCAGACTGTCACATTACAACATAGTTTCTAATTTATTACAGGTCTATACGGTAGCAAACGATTTGATTGGAACTGCATCAGGTATGCTTTGAAACGATCCATATATTTACAGGGTGTCTCCTAAATAAGTGCATCTATTTTAACTTTGTTTTTTTATCGAAAAAAAAAATGTTGAAATTTTTACATCTTTCTTCACTTTACAAGTACCTAATTTTAATTTTCTATCTTCCTTTAGTTATAAACTCGGTTGTTTTCAATTCGTTTTAAAAATGTAAAATAGAAAATCTTTCTTTTGTCCAGATCTACTTCCTATTCAAATACTTGCGCTTATTTAATAGACACCCGGTATATACTATGTGGCTTATAAAAGTTCTCTGCGTATGGGAAAAATATTCTTGAGAATAATTTTTTACTCCAAAATATTTTGATTACTTAAAAAACATCCTTAATTATCAAGTCTGCAACATATACTTTAAATAGATATTGAAGCAAAGCTTGTTTTTAATGATATAGTATTGTTGATTAAAGATCGTCAGTGAGATAAGTTTTATTTTTTTAAATATTTGAACTGTCTGAAATATTTAATTTATTTACGGATTTATGATAAGGAACTCTTATTTTTAATTGATGCATTTTTCTGCATTTTTATCTCGGTGATTATCATTATTTATTTATATACGAGACAGACAATAATATCTTATAAATTAATAAAAACTATACTGTAACTAAACACTCTCTTTATATGTATATCTTATTCCGTATGATCGAGAAAAAACGGCGTCCAGTTGGCTGGGAAATGACGATCGATGACATTTCCCATATAAATTTACATTTAAAATGACAGCGATCTTCATTTCCCAGCCAACTGGACGCCATTTTTTTTCGATCATACGGTACTATCTAAAGCCCCGTCTAAACATAAGGTCTTACATGTCAGTTATGCGTGTGAGGTAAAACGTGCGCGTAAAATAGTGCGCTGTCCAGTGACAGCCGGTGACAGCGTTCGATCAGCGTTCAGCGATGAAGTAGACGAATCCGTTGTATTTGGAGCGTGCGCATAAAAATTGTGTTGAACCAAAAGGATCGACTTACACATGCAAGATTAATATTCCTGTTTCATTTCTTTGGCTTCATATTTCTATATATTCTAATATGTATAAGGGCTAGAAAGACAATATTAATAAATTTTTATCTGTGACTAATAACAACGATATTTTTCTTTGTAGGGAACTACCAAGAAACTACTCCGACAGTGTTGCCGTTCTTTCACATCTACGGATTTACAATAACAACACTCTTGATGATGTTGAAGGGTGTCAGAGCATTAACTCTGCCAAGATTTCAGCCTGACACTTACATACAAACTTTTAAAGACTATAAAATTAATTTCGTTTATGTTGCGCCACCCTTAAGTAAGTATTTAATTTTTTTCACATATATACAAATTCTACTCGATTGGCATTATTACAGAGCCTAACAAAAACGACGTAATTATATATTATAGCGTTGACTGCAAGAATTGGGAAGATATGCAACCTAATGGGCAAATTCGTGACGAGGTTGATCTGATTTCCCCTTACGTCTCAAGTGCTGTATGGTGGAGCCCCCAATCGTTCTGCGACCAACGCATAGAACACTTATTTTCTCTAATTCGGCTAGCGAAGGCATTTCGAAGACGGTGTGGAACTGAAAGCGACAGTGTTGCCATATTAAAATGTGTAATATATCCATATTAAAATGTGTAATACGTACGAAAATACCCTTTGGTTGAAAAATCCGCGTTTATGTATTGAAAATTTATTCATGTTAAATACAGAATAAACAACAAAAATAAAAATTCTTTTATAGGTACTGAATATTTCATATTATCGAAAAAAGTCGTTTAGTTGGCTTAAAAATTACTATATAATACCATAATATTTTACATATAAAATAACAGCGATTTACATTTCCAAGCCAACTCTGACGCCGTTCTTTGGTTAATCATATAATATTATATTAAATCGTTAATGATAGAAAATCCGTATTATTAACGTACTGTACCAAAAATCCGTAAATCTACGGATTAATCCGTAGTTCTGGCTACACTGTCTCCGGAAACCACTTACTCTTTCGACTGAAAGCAGAACTACGGTAAAGAATTCTTTATCCGCTGCGCTGTAAACGACGCAGCGCGCAGCAGCGCAGAGCTAAACTACATTTCGGACATGTAAGGGTAACGGCAGCTACATCTCGGACATATTTTGTGCCACAAAATCGCCCATAAGGTTGCATATCTTCTTATTTCTTTAATCAACTATTATAGACATATTTTTAACTACAAAAAAGTATTTGACTTCTTGCTTTTTGTATACAAACTTTTGAAGAGTTGAATTTTATGATTTGTAGTTCTATTTTTGACAATGCATCCAGAAGTGAAGAGCGAATATTTGCGACACTTGACGTTCGCAATATCAGGTGCGGCGCCGCTGGGTAGTTTGGACGAACAGCGTTTTATAGAAAAGGCTGGACAAAACGTACTGATGATTCAAGGTACGGTTGATTTTCTCATTATTTTTTTGTAATACAGAGGTGTTTATTTTTTTATTTATTTCAGCTTATGGATTGACCGAGACTTCGCCAGTGGTGGCGTCAAACACGAGAACCATCAGGACTAAATTCCTTGAAGAGTCAAAAGGTTCGATAGGACACGTGCTTCCGAATACGGAGGTTAAAATAGTGAAGCCGGGCGATACTACCGATACGCCACTGGGTCCGATGGAATCTGGGGAACTTTTAGTTAAGGTAAGAAAAAAAAGTTTATTCCAAAATTGACCAAATATTTCTCCAAAAAAATCCTTGCCACTGCACTGCAAGAAAAATCTACAAAATAAAATAGTTATTTTTTGTAAACACTTCTGCGTTAAACCTAAACGGACGCTGCTTGTCAGAAGTTATGTTTACCCCCGGTGTTTTCAGGTATAGATAGCGCGTTATAATCCGCCAGATATTTTTTATTTGATGGATAGCAGAAAAACGTGTATCTTCACCTATACATAGAAATATCTATTAGATAAAATAACCTTATCCGTCAGATTCTACTTGAGACCTGAACTGCTAAATAGCAAAAAAAATACAAAGAATAAAGAAAAAAACTATTTAAAATATTTAAATTCAACTATTCGAGAACACTTTACTTTTTTTTTAAAACAGATACGTCTACAAGAAACCGTTGACGTTCTGTTAAAAATTAAAGAACGAGGATTTTTTTGGAGAGATGGATCCGCCACATAGGTATAGACATTTTTGACCAAATATTGTGAGAAAAATTCATGTTTATACCATAGGCTTGTATTCAAAATAAACGTGTATAGTACATAAAAACACATTTAGGGTCCACAAGTGATGCAGGGCTATCATAATAATCCTAAAGCCACAGAAGAGATTTTTTCAAATGGTTGGCTTAGAACAGGAGATTTGGCTCATTATAACGAACACGGATTTTTATATATCACTGACAGAGTGAAAGAACTTATTAAAGTAAAAGGATTTCAAGTAAGTATACATTTGTTTGAAAAAAAATCATCAATTTATTGTTACTAAAACTATCGATTTCAATAAAAAAATAATAATTTAGATTTAATTAATTAAAAAAAATCGTTATAGAGCCTAGGGCTGTATAAAATCGTTATATTTTATACAGCACTATTTCTGAAAAAATTATTTATTATTAACTGGATTTTTTAAGAAATAGCGACATCTTAATTATCGATATATAAAAAAATGATTACGAATATATCGATATTATTTTAATTGCAAACATTATTACACATGATCAATAAGTTTTATTATTAAATCAAAAAAACTTGCTCAAAGGGATAGATACTGCTTATTTTTTTTATTAAATATCAATAAATTGTTGCTAAAAGTGTCGACAAAAACTATCGATAATTTAAAATATGTCGATATTTTTGTTCAGCCTGATTCTAAACAAAATACCATTCGAAAGAAAAAACAGTGTCATAGTGACTTTTCAAGTCCGTCTGTCCCTCTGTCCGTCTGAGGGCTCCATTCGGGTACCTCTATCCACGTGCCGAGTTTGGTTCTAATCGACCCATAATTAAGAAAAATCCTGATGATTTCGTCCATTTAGAGACATCGGTTGAAAACGTCGAGGGCGTCATCCTGTAGCCCGTCTCCAATTATGCCGAAGTCGACCCACATTTTTCTTCAATATCAAATCCTTAGTCCCACTCTGATGAAAACGTAAACGAAACGTTTCGTCGTATCCGACTTTGCAGGGTGGGACCGTGTGCACCGTCGATCACATAGCTTACCTACCAAATTTGGTCGCGATCGGACTTTTGACGTTTCTTACGTCAAAAACTAACTGTGACAGTGACACGTGTCGTACACGGTCAAGTTGACCTTGGTCCAATCTATCGCCATACCAAAAATGTCATTTAAATCCGACGTTTCTTGAGCCGTAGGGTGCCCTTACCACTTTCCCTCTCGCCTCCCAAGTAGCAAAAAGAAGTTCTAAAAGGATTAAATTATTTTATAACAGTCGAATAGTTGTCTTAAGGACTGCTTGATTTTATTAAGCGTTTGGTTTCGATCATTCTGTTTTTTAATAAAAGTTGCCATATTAAACTATTTTCTAGTGGTTTTTACAATGTATCCTATAACGCATTAAACGATAATTTCTTTTAGTATGATATAACACTTAATAAAACAATGCTATATGATAACAAACATATTATTTTATTAGACTCTTATACCCACCATGTAAGAGTTCTATATTATTCATATAACTAGTAGTCACAAGATCATATAATAGTTACTTAAACTTGTCTTATTAAAGTTGTATTACGTTGTATGATAGAATGTTTTATTGCGTTAAACTACGGTGCTGTATACAACACTAGTTATATAGCCTTATATGATAAAATTGTGATTAACAAAATAAATTCGCTGTAATACCTGCATTATAAAACTGGGAATGTATAATATAACCTCATTTTAAATTAAATGGTATACCTAGTTATTTATTTTGTTATTATGGCAAAAGTAATATCTACGTACGAGTATAATCAATTAGAGCTATTATGAATTCTGGACAAAGTTGGAAAAAAATTAACAAACGCATTGGTAGTTATAAAGAGCATGTAAGAAAAAACTCATCGAAATTACGGCAAATAATCCCGAGAATTCCCTGGGTTCCCAAAAGCCAAAATCTCTCGGGTTGTCTGGTTCCTTCAAAGCATTGTTGCCACGTTGATGTAAAAGTTTTACTGTAGTAGTGTTTGTATTGTTTTATTGTTGTTTTTCCAAGTCCTTAGGTTGCCGCTCACTCGTCGGGCATGCATGAAATGCATTGCGTGCATGAATCCATGAAAACCTGATCATGTTTGTTAGTTTAAATACTAATCTAATGAGATTTGGCAACATCTATTTGTCACAAATCTCAAAATGTCAAAAATAGTTCTATAGTGCCTGGAAATTCTGCGTAATGATAGATATTTATCCTATACCTTTTTATTTTACAACAAAGACTTATTTAAGGGATTCATTTATAATAAAATATATTATTGCATTATAATTCACCATGTTTAAGACAGAATTTTTGTATGGCCTATGGCCGCCATTATATGAAGCAAAATTAAAAACATCAAAATAAATTGTAAAATGTTATTTTTGAGAACTATTTTGTGATAAGATTTCCACATACAATAATAATCTCTTTAATTAAATTAAAAACAAGATTTTTGAAAATTTTATTTTATTTTATTGTTATTATACGTAAACCTTAATCGAAATTAAAGCGCTTTAATTTTTTGCCAAATACATACCTATAATCTACCAGTAAAATTTTCGGCGCAACAAAAATTGTCCCTACTTTTCAAACCCTATTAATGATTTTTTATATTACATATTTGTTGTACCTTCTGGCTCTAGCCGCCATTTTCACCGTCGAGTCTCCTTTTTAACAATCCACATCCTCTAGATTTATTTTACGACACGCTTAAAATATAATTTGCTCCTAATATTCTTCGGTAAAACATAAAATACTCTTTTACCTCGCTAAATGATCAAATGTTTTTATTGTTCTGTTTCTTAGATGTAACCACGTAATACACAATAACACTAGTTTTATAATAGTTATATAACGCTGTGTAAAATAGTTGCATAAGAGTTGTATACCCTTTTTATAGAACTTCTATACTACTAAACGGTTGTATAAAAACGGGCCTTTTTTGGTTGTAAAGCTATCATATTCTTTTACTTCATATTCTTTTACTACATAAAAATGATCACATAGCTGTTTATACAGCCTTTATAAAATAAAATTTGCTACTTGGGCTGTTGCGTCGCGTGTCGTATCACGACCTTGAATTTTTACTCCCAGCACGCGTAAAGAAGTTTCACTTCAAAAAAACGTATTTTTATACATTCGTACTCTAAGTAAAAAATGTGTATGTAATTTGACATTAAGTTAAGAGTTAAAAAAATTATGTTTAAAAACACATCATTGTAAAAAACACTCGTCTACAAAATACTATATTAATATCTATAGCTCGTTATTATAATATCGATTCTATATAAAAATACACATATATTCCGATACCTTAAAAATATCGATATAAACTATCGATATATTACAAAATATCGATTCTCTTATACATCCCTATTCCGAATTAAAATCACGTAATTTTTTACACTTGTAGGTACCACCGGCAGAACTGGAGGAACTTCTTCGCGACCACCCGTCCATTGCAGACGCTGCTGTGATAGGTATTCCCGACCCTGTGTCGGGTGAAGTACCCAGGGCTTACATCAAGCTGAAGGAACCCGTGGAACCGGAAGATATTGACCGATTTATCAACGATAAAGTTGCCAAGTACAAACGATTAGATGGGGGAATAGAATTCGTAAAGGAAATACCGAAAAACGCAGCAGGGAAAATTCTGAGGAGGGAATTGAAGCAACGATACTTGCAAGAGCAAAACGCTTGATATTTTTTTATTATTTTTACGTGTATATTTACTTTTTATTGTAATTTTTGATCGTATTTTTACATTGTTATTATGTTAGGCGTACGGATTTTTTATTTTTAAATAAGATTTATTTTAAACGATTTGTTTTAGTACCTTATTCCTATACGAAAAAAATATATATAGTATGACTTATAAGATAATACATACTGACAGTTCTTATCTGTTATCTCAATCCGAAACAGCGGCGAAGCTTCCATTGATGCGGGTGATGCGTCGCATCCCTTCAAAATATTGTAATACGTTTTTATTTAAAAAAAGTCTCCGAGATCTCCTATAATAAATTAAAATTCTCAGTAAAGGGTATAGCCGGATTAATATAGGAAATCTACCCTCGCGCAGGGCCTATTTTACCATAAGGCCCATACGGCCCGGGCCTTAAGCCCGGTGGTCTGGGGCCCGTTAAAGGTTGTAAAATATTCATAATTTCAAATGTAAATTTACATAGCAGAGAAAAAAAAACAGTTACCTCTGATAAGAAAAATAAAATTAAATAAAATAAGCTTTAGATTGATATAATTAATGCATTTTTTAAAATTAATTATTTTTATTTTTTTATTAAAATTTTTATTTTTTTATTAAAATTTTTATTTTTATTTTTTTATTGTTTTATTTTCTTAACCCAAACTAACAGGAGAATTTTTGAATTTTATTGGATAAAAGGGCCCGAGTTTTTGCTTGGGCCTTAGGGCCCGACCAGATGAAAAATAGGCCCTGCCCTCGCGACTTTTTTGACTCGCACTCAGGGGATCGATTTGGTGTCGAATCAAAATAATTCACCTAAAGTTTTAGCTCTTTAACTCAAACGGTTTTCGAGATTTAAAAAAAATGTTTTATCAATTTTATTTTTATAGTAAAATTCAAAATTAATTAATGATGATTTTTTTCTAACTCTTAGAAGTCTAAGACATGAAAAAATAATATGATCATGATTCTTAAACGAAAAGCCGATTTTTAACGGAAAGAAAATTAAAATCTTAATTTTTTTAACCTTTGTGAAATATGTCACTCACTAAAAGTCGCCAGAAAATGTCTTTTATACTTTTTACACTCAGGATTTTTTTAAAATTTTTGAAATGGTGGAACAATATGAACAAATTAAAAACTCATTTTTTTCTAAAATCTTCTTTTTTAACTAACTTATTTTTAACTTTTTTATTTTTTTTTTAGTTTAAAAAAGTGCGTAGAAAATATTTTTTTAGGTACTTCAAATTCACAATGATATTGCTTAATACACATTTTCAATCATATTGCTACGAACTTTTCGGCCGCGATTACGTCTCGCTTTCACTGTTTTAGGGTAAAAACATAGTGGAGCGACGAGGCTAGAGGCACAGCGAAGGGGTAAGACAAGATAAGCGACGCGACAGGAGACACATACATAGTAAGGAGACAAAAGTTGCGATTTATTGCTCGACTCTCCAAATTCAAACCACTATGTACAATGTTCTCCGACAGTGAAGATGAGATTTTATTCGATAATCGCGGACTTATAGCAGTGGGGGAATTGGACAGAAACTACTCTGTACATCCCATTAATCAAGCACGCAAACAGTTTGGACAGTATCATAGCCTGTTGAATACGAATACGGATGTTATTATATTATACTCAGCCATTGCGAATGACAAATGTTGTCTCTATACAGCAGACTCCTACTTAATGATACCAGTCAACTGAAAAAAGGCCACACGCATTCAAGCGTCAACGCGACAAGAAATCATATTTTTATCTCGACGCGCGTCTCCTCGCTTGTCTCGTCGCTTGACGCTTCGGCAATCTACTATGTTTGCCTCCGTTACAATACACGATCAAATTCAAGTCGCGACGCTTACCTCGTCGCTGTGCCTCTAGCCTCGTCGCTCTGCTATGTTTTTACCCTTAGGGCGCTTAGGTAAAAAGGACCCTTAGGGTAAAAACATAGTGGAGCGACGAGGCGAGTGGCACAGCGACAAGGTAAGAGACAAGATAAGCGACGCGACAGACGACACGACATAGTAAGGAGACAAAAAGTTGCGATTTATTGCTCGACTTTCCAAATTCAAACCATTATGTACATCCTATTAATCAAGCACGCAAACAGTTTGGACAGTATCAGAGCCTGTTAAATAGGAATACGGATGTTATTATATTATTCTCAGCCATTGCGAATGATAAATGTTGTCTCTATACCAGCAGTACTCCTACTTAATGATACCACTCAACTGAAAACACTCTCACAAGAAATCATATTTTTATCTCGACGCGCATCTCCTCATTTTCTCGACTCAGCATCTCTTTACTATGTTTGCCTCCATTACAATACACGATCAAATTCAAGTCGCGACGCTTACCTCATCGCTGTGCCTCTAGCCTCGTCTCTCTACTATGTTTTTACCCTTAGTGGGTGTGGAATGCGATTTTTAAACACATCTCGTTCGCGGTATAAAATAAAAAAAGACCGATTCTGAGTGCGGCTGTAAAATAAAAATGATTTTGCAATCATCCCTCAGTTCTATGGTGCATTGAGAAAAATTAAAAACTATTGAAGGACCTCCAAAGCATATTTAGAATATTAATACTAAATTAAAATCGTGTATTCATTTTAGTTAAAATGTTTATAAAAGTGAACACTGGTTATGTGGTTGTAAGACACTTAAGAAACTTTTTTGTTGGCCTTGTCTACAATTTGATCTAACAGATACGTTCACCAGTTTTATCTTTTTCAAAATGTTTGACTTCATGGACACAACATTTAGGCTTCATACTTCAAAGCAGCCGACTCTTACTATCGCTTCAGAATAGGTAAAGCTAAAGTTCCGTGACTGTTATTTTATAAGGTTATTTTGAAATAAAAACACTTCGAGTAAGCAGATATAAACAATTTTAATTTCAAAGCAATTACAAAGCTATATAAAAAGTATGCAACAGTATAAATAAACTTCTCATATATCACTTAGTACTTTTCTCTTTTTTAAAGGTCTAATCAAAACCTAAGGGCGTGTAACCTTGAACTGTCAGTATTTCCGACGCCAAAAGACTGAAGTATTTTCTACCATTTTAAACCTCCAAAGCAAATCCAAAGTCACACGCCTTTTCAAAAATGATTCGTTTTTACGTAACACCGAATCCCAACATCTCACATGATAACTAAAATCTAGGTTGTTTCCAACCGATGAAATATATGACAATGATAACTAGAAGCTATTTTTTTCCTCGAAAAAATCAGTAACGAGAATATTATTAAGAGTTATTTTCAAGGTTTTTATACCCTCTTTTTTTTGGTCTTACACAGGCTCTAAATTATGTATTATCAGAAGGTACGTGTATATAGAAACATTTAAATATGATCAACTATTTTATAGTATGGCATACTCACTTTCATCTACAGGGTGTGCGATAATAAAGCTCCCAACAAATGTGAAACTTTTTTGCAATTTTATTATTTTTCATTTACACACCCTGTATATAGAAACATTTAAATATGATCAAATATTTTATAGTACGGCATACTCACTTTCACCTATAACTTAAGTTGTTTGTCAGTTTTATATTTCTCTCCGTAAATTATATTTTTGAAACGGAACAAAATATAAAACTGATAAAAAACCTAGAGTGCTTAAAAATTCTTACAATACTTTCTTTCTCATTGAATTTAACTGCTATATATTATTTATATCACTTATCATTAAGAAATTTAAAACACGTTTCAGTCTAAAATAAAGAAAAATATATATTACACACACTCCATAGCGGTGAGTTTTAATAAAAATTGGAAAGATAAAATTCAAAAAAATAAAGTTTTTTTTGTTACAGCATATACAAATTAACACACACAAACATACATACGGTGTGATTTATTCGTCTCATCTGACGCCGTTTTTATTTAATCACACAGTATAGACAACCACACCTATAAGCAATACCAATTAAACTTTTAGTTACTTAATCCAGGGTTTTTTCCCGCTGGGGATTCAGGTGGTAACTCTGCTATAAGAAAGTGGCCACATTTATTTATTTATTTCCTGACATTGCCATTCGTTTTGACACATTAGATTTGTGTTACGAGTTTTTTTTTATTTAACTGAATTGTGTTGATACTTTAAGCTTAAAGATGTTTACAAGCAGACCTTGCAGTCGAACATTGTTCTTTTTAGAACTTCTTTTAGTGCAAACTGTACAAGAAAGTTTAATATCCGTAAAAAAACTCATCGCAACTTTATTAGAATATTTTCAACGGGAAAGCGGTAGTAATGGCCCTTTATATCCCTTAAGTGCTGTTAAGGATGTGAGTTTATATATTTATAATTAATTTATTTTTGTTTCCTAAAATACTTTGATTAAAAGAAAATATGTAAAAGTGGACAACGCTGTGCCAGCGAAGCTTAATCACGTGACTAAAAGTTTATTTGGTATCGCTTATATAAGAGAATTGAAAGGGTGCAAAGACAAAAAATGAAATAAACTTAATATTGAACATATCAAGAAAGAAAAATTAAAAGATAAAAATGAATCTCTAATTAAAACTCAAACAAAAAACAAAATCAAATATATTCAAATTAATAAAACGACTACATAAAATTTATATCTTCTTTAAAAAAACTCTTCAGTTTGCACGAAGTAAAGTTGCATTGATAAAGGACGATTAATACAATTATTACACTATATACTAACTAGTATTTACAAAATAAGAAAAAATTATATAGTCAAAACGATGGATTATTTTCGAAAAAAAAATGTTAATTTTCCATTAAGTCTAACCGATTTAAAAACCTTCTAAGATCAGGTAATTAGATTACGAGGGATGGCTTAAAAATATTATTTGAAATACATATCGGGGAGACTTAATAAATACCGACACAATTTTGATTTCGTTTTGAAGGACAGTAAAGAAAATTACGATTAAATCTACGAATTAAAGTCTTTAAAAATTATATTTGCCAACAAAATATTAGAAACGAGATATTAAATAAGATGTAGAAATAAATAAGAAAAATGTGTCTTGCGATAGGAAATATTTCCACCTAGAATTAATTTTCTTTACTGGGGAAGGGATCTTCTAGTTTATTCCTTCTTTTCTTCGGACTTCTTTCCTATGGGAATCGCTGCTTTTACCCTGAAATAAGATAAAAAAAAATCAATTGTGAATAAACCTATGCTTGAAGGCCATTTCTTCTTTTTGTGAATAAAAACAATTTTTGTTTCTTTCTGAAACACGGTCTCGGTGGAATGTTTTTGAAGTGTCATCATTTAAGAACCTCAAAATTAGTCGAATAAATTAGTTAATTCAATGAGTGCAAAAGTTTGTTCCTGTAATTTCAATGTAATTCAGAACGTCAAAATTAATGGTAGTAATTTTCAATTAGTAGTATTCGTACTTTTGCCAGTAATTATGCTTCAAAATTAGCGATTAATGTCATTTTCGCTTTTGATTATCATCTGTCAAGCGAAATCTCGGCTAGATATAAAAAGTTTATTGTTTTATAACTTTGAATAAAAAGATTCAGGAAGGAGTATAATACTATCCATGTATTCATCAATGGTGACAGAGAGAGAGCCATAAGGTGGGGATCCTTGACAGTTCTGTTTGACGATTCATTTGACACATTTGAATTTGATTTGAAATTTTGTGGATTTGTCAGTCTTTACTGACCTTATTTTATGTTATTTATTATTTATTCTACTACTGATAGTTGTTTAAAGGTAGTAAATCTAGAAGAAAATTGTGGCAGAACTTAAATTAACAGTGTCTCTGATTGAGTGGCGTGCGATAGATCTCTGTCAAAAATCGAGGAAAATAACGAAATAACTTTTCGCTAGTAAGTGCCTATATAATATACTACATACATGGTAGTAAACCGATCATTTATGAAATTCACTTAAAATTAGGTTAGGTTAGGTTAGGTTGCTGGGGTTTGGGATCATATTTGATCCCTCACTCGGAGGCCTTGGGCCCATTGCGATACCCCTGTATTGTTTTACCAAACCTTCCTCTCATTCTTTCTTTGCGTTAAAGCACTTCCAGCTCTTGGCTTCTGCTGCTTCCTCTAGTCCCTCAAAAAACCTTGCCCTAAAGTTTTAAAGCGTCGGTATTCCAGTGCCGGACAGTGGCACAGCAGGTGCTCTATGGTTTCTTCTTCCTCTCCGCATTCTCTGCAGTAGTCGTCGTCGGAAACTTTCCATCTTACGAGGTTTACCCCCGTGGGACAGTTTCCAGTGACGACACCTACAATTATGCGTACTAGGTCCTTTTTGTGCTCTAGTAGTTGTTTTGTCTTTTTGCTATCTACCACTGGCCATAGTCTTCGAGCTGTAGCGCAGTCCTCACGGTGTTGCCACGTCTCTTGCTGCTTGGCTTTGATGGCAGTTTCTATAGCCTCCTTCAGTGTGTTGATTTTCACAAGTGGTGGGTCTGTCTGCTTCCTGATTGCCCACCACATTGCTGTGGCCTGGCATCCAGCACAGAGTAGCCCCGCCCCGAAGCAGCCGGGACAGTGCTTCTCGGCATTCCATCACAGTTTTCGATCTCACTGATTGCATGGTGATGCTTCTTAAAGCGGCCAAGCTGTCAGAGTATATCACTATATCGCCTATTGGTCTACCAGCAATTTTCTCTCGCATACATCTAGCCGCTTCCTTTATGGCGTAAACCTCTGCTTGTATAACATTACAGCCATCCGATAGCCTCAAAGATGTCGGATGTCTAGTTTCTCTGAGAATATGCATATACCTGTGCCCCCTGAATTTGCGGAAGCATCTGTGTAGACTGCTATCTCTTGAGTGTTTATTACTCGGTTGCTTTCCAATTCTTCTCTTGTCGGGATGCGAATCCTTAACTTTTCTCCAAAATCATGTTTGGTGAGCATATAGTCCGTTTTCTGGTCTAGCAGATGTGGACTCGTGTTCACCATGATTTTCCCTATTACTGGCAATATCCTCGAGTGACCGTAGTTGGTCTGGTTCCACAGATTGGATTCCCTACTTAGGGCACCCTTAGCGGCCAGATCCTTCACGAGCCAGTCGATTGATCGCAAGTCCAGAATTGCTTCTAGCGCAGCTTGCGCTGTGTTGTTCCTTGCTCCAGTTGTACCTAGAGCTGCTAATCGCTGTACTTTTGTGAGGCTTTTTCTATTAGTCTCTTTAAGTACCGCTTCCCACCATACTAGTGCTCCATAAGTGATGATTGGTCTAACTATAGCAGTATATAGTACATCCAGTGTATAATGTACGGTTGCAGACCCCATCTCTTTCCAAATAGTTTTTTACATGCATAGAATGCATTTATTCCCTTTATCATCCTTTCCTCCCTGTTCCTTTTCCAGGAAAGCTTCGAGTCCAGAATGATTCCTAAATATTTTGTCTCCTTGGCAAGTATAAGTGTCTTCCCTTCCAGCTTTGGTAGCGTGAACTTGGGTATCTTGTATTTTCTTGTAAACAGAATGAGTTCGGTTTTGTCTGGGTTGATGTAACTTCTTCAGAGCAGATTCCATGATGTCACTGATCGTCTGCAAGTCTTTGCCAACGATCAATATTACCACGTCGTCTGCATATGCCTTTATCCTAATTCCCTTAAAATTAAAATTAAAATTAACTAATTATATATTTTTCCATGCATTTTTGCTTTTTTCCATAGCAACTGTTAAAATTGCCTTATATCTATCAAAAATAGTAGATAAAGTAGTACTTTAACCGCAAGAGTAGATTAAATGATACTTAACAGCGAAAAACTTTATTTCTTCTCGCACGTTTTTTAATTACTTCCATTTTTGAAAATTTTTGTATTCCTTTTCATAAGTTATTCGGGATTTAAATGGAAGTAGTTTAAATATGGCGTTTGTCGCTTCAGCCTGAATATCTGTTGGTAATTTACTTATTTCGTTTTGAGCCATTTCTGGCTCCAATTCAATCAGCAATCGACACGAAAGAGAATTAAAAAATATTGACTCAAAACCATTGCCTGGAAACTTATATGGTGAAATTTTGATAAAATAATTTAGTACATACTAAAAACACGGTATGTCGCTAGTGGTAGGAAAAATAATTTTTAGAGGTTACTAGTTTTTTGGTTGCCTGTGATATGCATATACAGGGTGTTTCCTAATTAATCTAAAAAATGAAAAATCGTTAGAAAACGGATTAAGGCGGGCTCTTAATAAGTATATTTATTTTTTTCTCGACAACCGTTTGATGAACAAGACAAACCCAAAAGATCAATTTTGTTGAAAAGGATGGCCAGTCAAGAAAAAAATATATTTTCTTTAAAAAAGCAGTATGTTAAGCAAAAAATCGATTTTTTTAAAATTTTTAACACCCTGTGGATCAGAAAGGAAGTACTTTAGACCCCATGGTTATATAAAAGTTGTTTTAAGAACACATGAGGAAGCACACCACAATTTTTTTAGACTAATTAGAAAATACCCTGTATATTGTCAACTTGACAATGATTGCTGATAAATCAAAAAATACCTTTTCAGTGAAAAAAACCCGATTTTCGCAGGAAAAATTTTGATTTTTAATGAATTTGGGCCTGCGTTTGCAAATACCGGTTTGTTTTTTAATTTTCTATCTAAATTTTAAATATCATAGTCAGAAATAGTTTTATTATTTATTAACTATAAAAATGGTGTTTTCTTGTTGTGTTGCATCTTGCAAAGAAACTATCAAAATTGCAAAAATGCACGTGTTTCCAAAAGACGATAAGGTATGTATCTTAGATTAATGAAAAATATATGGTATGTATTCGTTGTTTGATTTTTTTTTTCGCTCGCTTTAAAATCTATAAATCTCGGTCTATTCATTAGACAGCCAGTCGACTTACGATCATTTACATGAAACTCTGTAAAATATCAAAAAAAATAAACCGTAAAATATATATTCTTATGTTTTATTAAAGTTACTCTGATATACTAATATATCAGTGTAACTTGAAAAATAAATCCTTTTAATTCAAATATAAATATAAAAAACATTTACAGCAGAAAAGGCGAAGGCGCTGGGTTAAACGCAGTCTCTACTAAAAACACAGAGGGGCGCTTCGACCCAAAATTTTACTATTAAGTTTCATATCTATCTTAATAGTAGATTATTTTCTTTTATCTATGCTCAAATCTGACAACTAAAGAGAGAGCTTTATTTATTTGTCAAATTACATAGAAACCAACGGCAACCCAGCACAATATTTTTTCTACTCGTAATAAATTCCTTGAAATAATAATTTCTGAATATTTTTTAAAACGTAACTCGCTATGGAAAAAAAATATTGTTTTATACACCACGATAAAATTGCATTATCGTCTCCCGAAATTAATTCACTCGCGATTGCGATTTCATCGCTCGTGAATTAATCTTTTCGATTAACGATAAAATACCATTTTATCGTCTTGTATAAAAAATAACTATTATTTACCACTTTCAAAGATTAGATTTCAAAGAATTTAGAAAGTCAATTCGACTTACCTACTTCAATAGCATATCGTATCTTTGTGTTAATAAGTAAGTATTATAACTTATCTATTTTTTTAGAATTATACATATTTTTATAACAATTTTAATAACTACCAACATTTATTCACAACGTAAAATAAAACAACAAATTATTGAGTCTACCCCACGTCTACCCTACATCATAGTTTTACACTTCTTAAATAAAATTAGAACGGCACTGATAAACCGGAATTTAGTCGGCCATTTTAGGACCCCGTCGCGTTCGATCCAAGGTTTGTAATATGCTCCGCCCTTAATATGGTTTTCAAAGTTTTATAAGCTAATTACTAGCCATTCTCTGTAGATACAACTGACTACCGCAAGCTGTTGCTAGGATATTCTATTAATTTTAATTGTATTTTTTTAGATATTGGTCAATAATCATAAACTGTGAAGTGTAAAGTATAATAAAGTCACTAATTTCGAGGTTCTGAATGTAGCTCATATATTTATAAAGTAACTATTTGATATGTATATGATGTAGCTGTATTATGATAGTAGTCTGTTGTTCTTGTTCTTCAAATGCAACAAAATTAGAGATAAAATTGGGTACAAAGAAATTATTTGCTTCTTCTTTACTGAAAGCTTGCAAATTTCAACGGATAAAATAATTTTCGTTATCAAAAAATGTGAAATTTTGATTATTTGGCAAAAATTCACATCCTAATCTCACAGATAAGTACCCTTAATAATTTGTCAATAAAATAAAGATTGATAAATGTATAGAACGAGATTCGCATGCCTGAATTTTTGACAAAATTAATAAATTATTTAAATGTTAAGATTTAAAGAATTAATTTTATACAAAAAAAAAGAACTTACTTTGCGGTAATTTCGGTCAACTTGCTCCTGACAATGTCAAGATTGGCATCGATTTGGGCTTGATTCGCTTCGTACACCTTGGGCAAGGTAAATAACGCCACCCAGGCTATCAAAAAAAACAGAAAATTAATATATATATATATATATATATATATATATATATATATATATATATATATATATATATATATATATATATATATATATATATATACAGGGTGGACCAAATTTATTCAGGACTTCGGCAGCCTATTCTGCAGATAAAAATAGGTAAAAAATAGCGATGGGAACTATCGATTGAATTAGACTATCGAATGGTTACTGAATGAATGATTTCAACTATCGAATGGTTTTATTCGAATAAAATCATTCATTCATTTGTATACTAAAGCATATGTGACAACCTCGCCGTGCGACTAAATGGTTATCGTTGAGCCACGACTATCGAATGTTTTTGATAAATGAAATTTAGTATTCGTTTGATTTTTGTGTGCGTCAGTGCATTATTAGTTCTTCCAAATTTTTATAACTTCGCCTTATAAATACTGTGCTATTTTTGCGTTTATTAAAATATTTAAAATACTAAAATAGTAGTTTTTTTAATTGACGATTGTGTGCGTGTGCAGGTGGTCAAAATTTTTCCGAAAGTTTGTGTGATTTTCCGTAGCCCGATCTTTCAATTATTTAATTTTATATGGTATATGGTCTATTTTTTAATGGGAAATTTTGAGAAGTAGCAATTTTTAAGAGAGATGAGATGAACTTACAATTAATTTTAAAAATACATATTTGTATTTTAGATGTTTTAATAATATGAATTAGTTGAACTTAATAATTATATTAATTAATGTGGTTAAGTAAATGGTTATCGAACTCAGACTATGGGGTGAGAAAATTAAATTAAAAGTTTTACACGTGCCAATTTAAAAAAAAGTTAACGATGTTTGTATTTTGTTTATGCTAATTCTCTTACATGTAGTTTTTTGCGAAGAAATATTTCATTTATTTTTTAGTAAGTAAATACCAGTAAAAGTAAATATTATTATTAAATAGTAATATAAAGTACCGAATATAAATAATTTTGATTTCTAATTTTTATTTATATTTTCCTTGCATTACACTGCACGCTTAGAAAATTAATAAATGTTTATATTTCATGATTTTAAAATTTGTTGTTAATATAACAAATTAGTTCTGTAATTATTATTATTTAATAAACAAACGTTGCCACAAAAAATTGAGAGACTATATTATTTTTAAATAGGATCTAATATAAATAATTTTGACATCAAATTTGTTGTTTATATTTTGCTACTACTTAAAAAAAATGTTTATATTAATTGATTTCAAATTTTGTTGTTAATAGGTATAACAAATTATTACTGTTATTATTATTTATTAAACCAGTCTTTGCTTAAACACATTAAAAATAATTTTCCTATATATTATATATAGGAAAATAAATAGACATATAAATTTATGTCCTAAAATGCTTCGTCTCGGAGATACAGGGTGTAGAAGTTTCATTTTTATTTCGATTTTTTCAAAGTAATTTTTGAAATAATGTTCATATTTGGATAAAAATTGGTATCTGGGTGTTTTTTGAAATGATAAATTTGATTTGGATGTCAATATGACTCCTACATATAGAGGGCGCAGCCTACATTTTTTTTAACTGGTTTGTAGAGTAATAACTTTTCGTCCATACCTGTATAAAACTACTAAGTGAAAAAATATACATTTCTGCCATTTTTTACGTTTAAAAATAGCCCAAAAATCTCCTAAACCTAGCAACCAATGACAAATATTAAACATATTGACTAGATAATTAGACTACTCAAACAATTATCGCATATTTCCTAAAAAAAATATTAATTTGAAAAATAAGACACTTTGAATTCCCTTACTTACGGTTATAAATAGTTTGGATACTGTGAAGGGAAATTCGAAACAATACGTCTACGTATATACTATACGCGTTGACCTGTAATTTTTAGTCGGACTATTTAGTTGCAAAAGTGAAAACAATACATACTTATGGAGCCGATCGGCCGACTAGTTGATTGCATGTAAGCGCGGCATAAGGATTGTAACCAATATAAATATGCAACTAAATAGTCGGCCGATTAAAAATTGCCTGTCAGCGCATAGCCTAAGGTTTTATGCAATGCAATTAAATATTGGGCCCATCGTCTCCATAAGAATGTATTGTTTTCACTTTTGCAACTGAATAGTCGGCCGACTAAAAATTACGTCAGTGCAGAAAAATGCATGCTTCATTTAGAAATGTGTAATAATTACTTTTATTCCCCCCCCCCCCAAATATGCGATAATTGTTTTGAGTAGTATTATTGATTATTTTTTGATGTTTTGTATTGATTATTTTGATTCCAAATATCACGAGAACCATTACTTAAGCGATTTTTACCAAGAGACCTCATTTACGCAAAATGTATATTTTTTCGCTCAGTAGTTTTATACAGGTACGGACGAAAGGTTATTAACCTTCAAACCAGATAAACTGGCACCTCCTACAAGTAGGAGTCATATTGACATCGAAATCAAATTTTTTACGTCAAAAAACTCACAGACAATTATTTTGAAAAAATCGAAATAAAAATGAAACTTCTACGCCCTGTATCCTCGAAACTAAGTATTTTGGGACGTACATTTATATGAACTTTTTTAATTATTTTTATCTGTAGAAAATACAGCCGAAGTTTTCCGAATACAATTCGGACTACCCTGTATATTAAAAATCATTGCGGACCGACTTAGCGATAAACGCACAGCCAAAACCGTTTCACCGTTGGAAGAAAGAGTTTCATGAGAACATGTTCATACTCACCAATAATGACCAAAGTCATTCCATTGAACCAGGAACCCAAATATGTCAGGACCCAGAGAAAAACTCCAAACTTGATCGAATCGACCAAATCCTCTACCAAAAAGAGTCTGCGAAGCTCGGAAACACCGGCATTCAAATGGGCCACTGCCACTTCAGATATTTCCTTTACTTTGTCTTGTGGGAGGGCGACGTCCAGCTCCAAATATTCCCTAAAATAACGATGACATATTTGAATTCAATTATGAAAAAGTTTATTATATTTTTTTGCAGGGTTCAATCAAGTGATTTTATTAATTTTAATCATGTGATTTAAATAAAAAAAATATTTCCCTTTATGATAAAAAAATATATAACTGTAAAAGTTATAAAAATGTGTCCTAGAAAACTATAAAAAATATTTCTATAACAGATATAACAGAAAATAAATCCAAAAATAATTGTAAACGTTATAAAACTACATAAAAATATTTATTCATCAAATTAATTGTTAGACCGATTTTTTGAACTAATTTCGTGGGGATCCATTAGACCGCTAAACGCAAGGATTTATTTTAAAATTTATGTAGAAGTAACAAATATTTGCTGTTTGAATACATATCATTCGCAAAGTCTTGTGCAGAACTGGGTTCTTCTAATATAGAGACTATATCGTTATTCCCGAGAATCTATAATCGTTGTCAGAAAATATGTTGTTTTATATTTTTTTTTGAAACGGTTGAATGTTTCCAAATTCCTACCGACATTTTGATCTGCAATAAGTACTTTACACTTTGACATTAGATAATACATACTAATTTCATTCTCGACTTAAGAATATTTCCGAAGAAAAGTGTATTGTTTTATTAGGAGTAAAAATTATACTTTTTTTGACAATGCTGTACCTTTGAAGGACCATCGTAAAGCTATTCCGACGTTACAGGGAGGCACAAAAGTGCATGTTTACTCCGAATAGAACATACTATTTTTTTAACATTACAAATAATTTTTTAATCAATTTCAAACATTGCAAATAAAGAAACAGTAATCGACCAACAATTTGTACAGGGTGGGTCAAATTCGACGCTTTTAAATGGAAACACCCTTTTCTATAGGAGAGATAGAGAAAAACTAATATCGGTGTCTGGAGCTCAATTTTCATCAAAAAGATGATGGTGAAAACTGCATATCAATATCTGTTACCGTTTCGGAGTTACGGGGTGTTTTTCAAAAATGTGCATTTTTAACAAATCGCTGTAACTTTTTTGCTATGGAAAATTCTGTATTTCTATGAAAACATTTCCAAAGCACCTTTTTACGTAGAATTTAATGGTTTAAGTATATTTTTTTTTAAATTAATGATTTAGAATTATCAACAGAAAAATAGTTTTTATATTTGGGACACCCTCTATATTTTTAATTAACTAAAAAGAATTTAAAATTACCTTTCCAAAAATATAGCACACTTGATATTTTGTTATAATCCCCTTAGAAATACAGAAATTTTAAAAGTTCGCCACTTTTAACTAGTAGGCTTTGGACCCCTTATTGATGATATGCCCTTAATGGAACTCGAAAACATATTTTTGCAGCCAGTTTCAAGAATAATTGAATAGCTAACCAAGATCCCAGCCGTTGGCCGTCGAGGCCGCCTGACTTAGTGCCCATGGATCTAATCCTATGGATATATTTGCGGAAGAATAAGGAACCTTTATTCTAGACAAGAATTAGGAATACTTAGCAGTTATGAGAGGGTATCTTTCACCTCTACTGAATTAATGAATTCCGCGAGAAACTGCCCCGTCTGTCCATAACAGAAAACGGTCGATATGTCGAACACCTGTAGCAAAATCTCCTGTCTCGGTTTGCTATTTATTTTTATAGTTATTAGATATAGTTTAAATGTGTTGATGTTGGTTAAATATATTTTAAATTGTTATAAAATTTTGCATCTCTCATAGCAAATATTATTTTCTTTTTAACTGATCCTCACAGCTAGAATTTTTTTGCATTACAGCCGGTGCCGTTCAAAGCCTACATAATTAAAGCGGGCGAATTTTTATATACTCGATATCTCGAAGGGGAACCGAGCAAAATATCAAGTGTGTTATATTTTTGGGAAGGTAATTTAAAATTCTTTTCAATAAATTAAAAATATACAGGGTGTCCCATATAAAAATCAAATTTTCTGTTAATAATTCTTAAATTATTAATTTTAAAAAATTATACTTAAACCATTAAATTCTACGTAAAAAGGTGCTTTGGAAATGTTTTCGTAAAAATACAAAATTTTCCATAGCAAAAAGTTACAGCGATTTGTTAAAAATGCATATTTTTGAAAAACACCCCGTAACTCCGAAACGGTAACAGATATCGATATGCGGTTTTCACCATCACGTTTTTAACAAAAATTGAGCTCCAGACACCGATATTAGTTTTTGTCTATCTCCTATAGAAAAGGGTGTTTCCATTTAAAAGCGTCGAATTTGACCCACCCTGTACACTCGTTGAATTTGACACTTACTATCAGTTTAATAATATAATATTTTTGTACTTTTGTGCTTAGGCGCAACAGTGCTTTACTTTTATGCCTAGGCGTTAAAATGACAAAAATTAATACTTTTGAGACGTTTAAAAAAATCCTTTTGATCTGAAGCGAACGACTTTTTTTGTGAAATGTATTGGTGACCGATGTGGAAAAATCACACACCCCGTAGAATTGTTATCGGTATCGGGGTATATATTTAGCCATTTCGGATAGGACTTTAATTGGAAATAAGTCCTAGTCATTTGAAAATCCGATTTAAATATTGTTGTGAATTAAAATTAAAAAAAATATGATTTAAATAAAAAAAATCTGATTTTTTTTGATTTTTTAAAAAAATCATGATTTTTTCCAACCCTGTTTTTTTGCACGAATGGCTTACTTGAATGGATGTCCGTCCCCTGTTTTCTGTACAGCCTGGATGATATTTTTGTAGATCCTAAAGGCGATGGTACCGGTGAGTGCGAACAGGGAAAGATATGCTATTACGCTGATGAAGGAGAAATAGGTAAGGGCTAGCAGTACCAGAAGCACTCCTCCAAAGACTGGGCCAGACTTTTTCGGATCTCTCCAATAGATCAAACTCTCCACTGAAAATAACATAAAATAAATTAGAAAAATAAAAATACCAATATAATAAACAAGACATACACAAAAACTTTATTAGAATATTTTGAACGGGTAAGCGGTAGTAATGGCCATATATGTCCCTTAAGTGCTGTCAAGAAGGTGAGTTTTGTGGATGTAAATAATAATTGTTTATATATTTATAATAATTATAATTAATTTATGTTTGTTTGACGTGACTAATATTGAGAAAGTAATTTCAAATAAAAAAAATTGGCGCCAGGAGGCACGTATAGCCGCCCATACTAAAATACGTTTATAAAAAGTTGGTAGGCAGTTCTTTTAGTTTCAAAGTAAAGGAATTTTTTTCAATTTTGGTCCGCGGTTATTTCCCCTATCCGCCACCTGGGGTCGCGTCCGATGGGAGTTTGGAGTTCTCCACACGGATTTTTTTAAAAACGGACTACGGAAACACGGAATATCTAAAAAACTGCGACTTTGACTGATTTTGATGTTATTGCAAATTTTGTTGCAAATATTATTCCTAATCTTAAATTGAAAACCGCGTTTCGCTAGCTAGTGTAATTTTGGAGTTACGATTTTTTAAAATGTTTAACCCCCCTCGCATATCTCCTTACCAACACCCCACCCCCACCAAAAACTAATGGCCAGATTCTCGGGTACCACAGTATTTTTGTGCCAAATTTGGTTAAAATAGGTTTAGCGGTTTTTGAGTTATCGTGTTACAGACGGACAGACAGACAGACAGACACCACGAAAATATTTTGTATTTAGGTCATTTATGACCCAAATAACTAATTTTGAGTGAAATTAAAAAAACTTTTTTTTTGCAGATCTTAATAGCCTACCATACCTGTTGGTATGGTCGGCTAAAAAGTATATACGTGACTAAAAGTATATTTGTTGAAAATGTTTTATTTTTATTTTCGTATGATGTAGCATTAAAAAATATACACAACCCTAAATTTTCACCCTTCTACCATCAACCCCTATTTTTTAATAGCGATATTAGTAATTCAATAATTTTAAACCTCGTGAATAAAAATTACTGTTGTCCCATACTAATTTTATATAAAAACCTTTCGATATTTTTAAACATTTAAACACTTATTTTTTTAACGCATAAACAACGACAGGTACCGTTTGATGAAAAAAAAGGCGTCCAGTTGGCTGGGAAATGACGATCGATGACATTTCCCATATAAAATGGCAACGATCTTCATTTCATAGCCAACGCTGACGCCGTTTTTTTTTTCGATCATACGGTATTTCATTTTTCTGATTTTGAAATCTACATTATATCAAGGATTATATCAATTATATCTATATGTACGTAGCCTTGAGAGTCAATGACATACAGAAGTACCCAATTGTAATGCATCAGCACAATTTTTAACTTAAAATATTAAACATTTTGGTTAAAATCTTTTTTTTTAATGAAAACGACATGGTACTTTCTCCTAGAATACAAATATAATAGCCTAATTTCATATTCATCAAATTCAAGGCATATTATAAAGAAGTACCCTTATGGTACAACTTAAAATAACCTCAAAAGAACATTATTTTGACTGAAAACCTTGATTTCATAAATGAAAATTAGATGGTACTACGTCCCAAACCTTTTCTACGCCTTGGAAAAAACAGTAAACATATAAATAAGCAGTGACATGCAAGCCTAACCAAATCCGTCTGACTGCCATATGGGTACTCTACTCAAACAAGATAAGATACATAAAACTAATAGAAAAAAGATTAAAACATACCGGGACCTCTTTCTGGTAGTACCTCCTGTACATTATACCTATTTCTTCTGTCATTATTACGACCCATATCTTTTTTCTAGTGAATTATCCCAAAAGCGAAAAAAACTCGAAATTCGAGCCTCGACCAGTACTGCAGACTGACAGAAGCGATAGAGAAAGAAAACATATCGAGGTACGACCGCATGTGGTGGTACCGTATCGACTCACGTCCACGAAAACGCGTTTTTTGTCTCTGTCGCTCGTATGTGGCGGTACCGTAAGACAGAAAGGGAAAGCCGAAGAAAAAGTAGGCGCGTTACTTTCGAAATATGTTTAAAAAGTCGTACAACGTCTTTGGACGTGTCAAAAACGAGTTCTGCGTGGCCAGAAATGTGTACAATGTTGCCAAACATAAATAGCATTCCCTAAATTGCCTTAAATTAAATCTAGAAATGTACAGGGTGGGTCAAATTCGACGCTTTTAGAGGGAAACACCTTTTTCTATAGGAGATAGACGAAAACTAATATCGGTGTCTGGAGCTCAATTTTTATCAAAAACATGATGGTGAAAACCGCACATTAAAATCTGTTACCCTTTCGGAGTTACGAGGTGTATTTCAAAAATGTGCATTTTTAACAAATCGCTGTAACTTTTTTGCAATGGAAAATTTTCTATTTTTTTGAAAACATTTCCAAAGCACCTTTTTACGTAGAATTTAATGGTTTAAATATATATTTTTTTAATTAATAGTTTAAGAGTTATCAACAAAAAAAATATTTTTTATTTAGGACGCCCTGTATATTTTTAATTAAATGAAAGGAACTTAAAATTACCTTTCCAAAAAATACAGAATTTTTAAAAGTTTGATTAGGTTAGGTTAGTTTGTCCACTTTTAACTAGTAGGCTTTGGACTCCTTATGATGATCTGCCCCTAATGAAACTCGAAAATATATTTTTCCAGCAAGACGAGGCACCGCCTCAGAACGCTATCAGCTAACTTTTGCCGCCAATTTTGAGAATAATAATTGATTAGATAACCAAGATTCCAGCCGTTGGCCGTCGAGACCGCTGGACTTAGTGCCTATGGATTTTTATCTTTGGGAAAGAATAAAGGTTCTTATTTTTCAATTACCTGTATAATCTAGACAAAAATTAGAAGTACTTAGCGGTTATGCGAGGGTATCTTACTCCCCCATTGAGTTAATGAATTCCGCGAGAAATGTTCAAAAACGGTCCCGTCTGTCCATAACATGTCGAAAACTTGTATGTCGGCATGTCGAACACTTGTAGGAAAATCTCATGTCTTGGTTTGCTATTAATTTTTATGGTTATTAGATATTGTTTAAATGCGTTGATGTTGAATATAGTTTAAATTGTTATAAAATTCTAAATCTCTCATTGCAAATATTATTTTCGTTTTAATTGCTGCTCACAGCTACAATTTTTTTGCATTACAACCGGCGCGGTTCAAAGCCTACTTAATCAAAGTGGGCTCGAAGAGTAATCGAGCAAAATATCAAGTATGTTATATTTTTGGAAAGGTAATTTGAAATTATTTTCAATGAATTAAAAATATACAGGGTGTCCCATATAAAAAATCAAATTTTCTGTTGATAATTCTTAAATTATTAATTTTAAAAAAATTATACTTAAACCATTAATATTCGACGTAAAAGGTGCTTTGGAAATGTTTTCATAAAAATATAGAATTTTCCATAGCAAGAAAGTTACAGCGATTTGTTAAAAATGCGCATTTTTGAAAAACACCCAGTAACTCCGAAACGGTAATAGATATCGATGTACGGTTTTCACCATCGTGTTTTTGATAAAAATTGGGGAGCAAGGAAGGTGCCTCCACGCGTGCATTTTACACATATGTATGTTAAACAAAGAAAACTAAAATGCCGGCGCTCCCTGGAAACGTTGTCCAAGTGGACAACGGCCAAACCTTCCACCACTGGAAACCAATGCAATCAAAAGCCAAAAACAAAAACTGGCCCTTTTCAGAGCCAACTTTAACGGTCGTTAGCCTGAACATTGAGGGAATCACCAAGAATAAAGAAGATATAATATCGCAACTATGCCAATCAGAAAAGTGGGACGTACTATGCCTGCAGGAAACGCTTAGAGATGAAACAGCAAACAGACCCAATATTAAAGGAATGCGTCTGGCTATAGAAGCACCTCACAGAAGGTACGGGAGCGCAATATTTACCAGACCCGACATGCTGCTCTCATCCACGAGTAAGAAAATAACCCACGACATTGAAGTGTTAACTATCGAGAGCGGATCATTCACGATAAGCTCCGTATATAAACCCCCTGGCCAAAACCTAGACCTTTCAATGCCAGGAAACTTTAACAACCAGAAGACACAATTTGTTGTGGGCGATTTTAACTGTCACAGCACCACCTGGGGATATGGCGAAACAGACTCCAATGGTCAATTGCTGGAGCAATGGGCTGAGGCTACCAGCCTCTTACTTCTCCACGATCCCAAGCTCCCTTGCTCTTTCAACAGCAAAATTTGGAAGCGAGGTTATAACCCCGATAATTGCTTTGTCAGTAGGAACATCCATGACACCTGCTGCAAAAATGTATATAATGCAATTCCAAAGACACAACACCGACCTATCGGAATCCAAATCTACTCTACAATCAAAACAACCAAAATACCTTTCCGTAGGAGATTCAACTTTATGAAAGCCAGGTGGCCAGAATACTCCCAAGTGCTGGATGAGGAAATCGCCAATTTGGCCCCAACACCAAGCAACTACCACATCTTTGTTGAGTCCCTGCGAAAGATATCCAGACGATATATTCCTAGGGGCTGCAGACAACATTACATTCCAGGGCTCTCGAATGCCTCAAGGGACACCCTGGAGCAGTACGAATAATTGTTTGCGGAAGATCCATTAAGCGATCAAACCATCACCTGCGGAACAGCTTTAATGACAGCTCTCAGCGAGGCACGTGAGAAGAAATGGATAGAAACCCTGGATAGAATGGATATGTCTCATAGTAGTAAAATAGCTTGGAATCTAATCAAGAAACTGGATGGTGACCCAAAACTAAGCAAGGCCCCTGCCAATGTAACATCCAATCAAGTGGCCAACCAACTTCTTCTAAATGGCAAATTCAATTCCAAACGCCAGAAAACCAAAATCAAACGCCTAATACCAACTGAAAACACCAACTTTCAGAAATCATTTACCATGAAAGAGTTGAACAATGGTATAAATACCATGAAGAATGG